GCCAGATCCCACCAAGCTTGTCCCTAAAGGATGAGCCTGGAGACACTTATCCTGCTCCTTCTCACTGCAAGCAGTAGGATCACTTGAGTGTAGAACACCAAAGGAAGGTTACAAGGACAAACTATTTATTCTTATCTCTAAATGTGAGAGTTTTCATTGTTTCTTTCAATCCTGGGGTGAACTTTCTGCTGCTGGTTTGGTTTTGTGTTTCTTATCTTGGTGAAATCAGAGTCAGGGGAAGGTGAGTAAGAGAGAAGCAAACAGTGGGTGTTTAACCGGAATCAACACCAGCCCAACGTGCTCCTTGGCTCATCGTGGCACCGGAGGTGTGTGCCCCTAAGGAACCTGCAGGGCACCTCCAGCAAGAGAATGAAGCCCCAGGTCTCTCATCCCTAAAATTGTAGGGTTGGAAAAGCCCTCTAAGGGCACCAAGTCCAGCCGTTCCCCAGCACTGCCAAGGCCACCTCTGACTCATGTCCCCAAGTGCCACATCCACTTTTAAATCCCTCCAGGGATGGGGACTCCACCACTGCCCTGGGCAGCTGTGCCAGGGCTGGACAACCATGTCCTTGAAGAAATGTTCCCTAATATCCAACTTAAAGCTCCTCTGGAAGAATCTGAGCCATTTCCTCTTGTCCTATCACTTGTTATCTGGGAGAAGAGACCGACCCCACTTCACTATTGTCTCCCACTACAATCCTTGCCTCTGCTTGTCCACGAGAGCAGTGATAACATTTTTCTTAAGAAGGATATCACACTGTTGACTTGGTGGGAGTTCTCCCTACAAAGGCCCAAACAGGAATGCCAGCACTTGACTCACAGATCACACCTCTCGTGGCCTGGGCACACACCAAGGTCTGCTCCCTCTTTCCAAGCACGAGGTTCTACAAGAGTGGAAAGTCTCTCACAGGTACGTCAGTTCTCTTCAGGCTATTTACAGATTTCCAGACGAGTTTGTTCCTTTTCTCTCTCTTTGTGGTGAATTAGGCAGTTCTGCTTTTTTGGTTCACGTAAAATTTTTAAAACAAATCCTTTTCTGCCATTTCAGTTCAGTCTGTTCACACATCACCCTCTGCTTCCCGAGCGTGGTTGCAGTTAAGGCTGTGCTATAGGCAGCTGGTTACAAAATCACATGTATTTTTAATGACTCCTCTATTCTTACATTGCCTGGTGAGATTTGCTATTGTTTAAGGCACCAGGTAATTTCAGGAGTGACCTGCAGGAGCCCATGGCTTGTTCCAGGAACCGGACTGGAACTCTGCAAGAATTAATGCCGGGAAGGTTGAAAGTGAGATATTTATATTAATTAGAACACTGATCCTGGAAAAGATATAATCAGCATTTCCCCCACTCTCCTCTGTAAGAAAATACAGTATTTTTGTTCTCTAGACTTTTTGAAATGTTATTCTTGCCCATTTTTTATACTTCTGTTGTCATTTTGGTGAGTAAAACCTCCTTCTTCAGAGGTTCATTTTGCAAAAGTGCTTCATTTTTACAGCCAATGCTCAGTTATCAGCCTCCCCTCTCCATTCCATCTGCCCTGTGGATGGATCACTCACACGGCAGTTCCATAAAGAAGTTGGGATTCAGTTTCCACTTTTCTTGGAGAGGAAATCGCCCCTCTCAAGCCACAGGCATTTTAGTGTGTGTACCTGGGAACAAAAGCTTTTAGAAATTCCAGCTGCCATGTCTGTCTCAGAGGTAATAAAGGTGCCTTTAGGAAGGCAGCAGGAGTGAGCGTGGTGCCTGGTGTGAGCGAGAGGAAGGATGGCAACTCACATTGCTGCTTCTGACGTTTGCCAGTCTATCAGTAAAAACGAAAATTGATTACAATGAAACTTTGTAAGAACGAAACAAGTATCTTTCGGTACTCGGTTGGTTAAGAAATCTTACGAGAGAGCTGAGAGCCGCTTCTCCGTGCAAGAAGTCCCAGCTGTCTCCCTCCCGAGGAGAAATCAGTCGGTGAACGAGGACATGAGATCCTGCAGAGCAGTACGTGACTGCGTTAATTTGACAAAGGCGATGGGTGCGCATGGGAGCGGGCAGGGAGCCGTGCAGACCCGCAGCCGCTGCCCCTCCGTGCGCGTCCCGGCGCGGGGAGCGATGCGCGATGAGCGATGAGCGGGCGGGGCGGGCGCGCAGGTACCGCCGCTGCGGGGGCTCGGACCCCGCGCTCCCCCGCCCTGCCCCGGCCGCTGCCCCGGGGGCGGCTCGGCGAGGTGCTGAGCGCGGCTCGGCGGGGCGGGGGGGCTGTTTGTTTGTTTCCTGCCCCATCCCGTTTTTATGATCGCGAAGAGGAAGAAGCCTTCAGGTCACCCAGAGAACTGCTGGGCCGGCGGACAAGGGCTCCTTTGATCGGCTCTGCTCGGCGGGCAGCGGGAGCGCCCCGGGCGCGGATGTCCCGGCCATGCGGGCGCCCCGCGGCCGGGGGCCGCCCGGCACAGCCCCGCTAGCCTAAGCCTGAGCCTAAACCCGAGCCTAAACCTAACCCCGCGCCGCCTTCCCCCGGGACCCGCGGGCGCAGACCCGCCGCCTCCGCCCGGCGCCGCCCGGGGATGTGCGTGGCGGCCCCGCGGCCGGAGCCCTGCGAGCGCAGCGGGTGAGTGCGGGGACGGGGCTGCGGGAGCGGGGCGGGCGGGCGGGCGGACGGACGGACGAGTCCCCGCGCGGCTCCCCGAGCCGGCAGCCCCGGCGCGGTGCTCCCTGAGCCGGACGCGGGGTCTGCAGCAGCGCCCCGAGCCCGCGGGATGCCCCGGCGGGGCCGCTCCGGGCAGCGGCTGCGGCGGCCGCCGAGAGCCCTCCCCGCCCTGGGCGGCCCGGCCCGGCCCCACGCACCTCCCCGCGGGGCCGGGGCTCTGCGGGCTCCGGGGCTTTGCGGGCTGCGGGGCTGTCCCGGGCTCCGGGGCTGTGCCGGGGCTGTGCCGGGGCTGTGCCGGGCTGTGCCGGGGCTGTGCCGGGGCTGTGCCGGGGCTGTGCCGGGGCTGTGCCGGGAGAGGCGCATCCCCCCGAGGGGCTGCCCCCGGCACTGCCCCGCCGTGCCCGCTGTAGCCCATCCATCCGCACGGGACAGGCGGCACAACTTAGCGAGGAAAAAAAAGTATTCTCGTGACGCGCTGCATTTTCTGTAGAAGCGAACGCTGGGAACCAAGTAAGCCACGAGCCGATTTTCAACGTGCCCATCGCAAAACCAAAAGATAACGCATTAATTAACTCCCCGTACCTCCTAGATCAGGATCGATCAAAATATCGTCAGCTCTCTGCGGTGTCTAAGCTCTAGTAGGCAGAGCAAAGGGGAATCACAGAAGCACTAAGAGAAGTGTAAGAAAAACACAATACCAAGGCTTGTATCTGCTTAAATTACTCCTACACTTTTGCTGTGCTTGCAGTTAGCACATAAAGAAGCTTTTACCTGGTGTTCGTTAATGCAGATGGGATCAACTCCTTAAATAACTACAAGTAAAAATTAGTCAGATGCCTTTAGATGCAAGGAAGAGTCCTGCGGGGACAGAAAGATTAGCTCACTTGGAAGAACTTAGCTGACTGTAAGGGACATATTGGCACATGAAAGGTGCAGTGTTTCCTGCTGCTCTACTGAACTGTGTTCTCGGTGCTCAAAGTCACCCCCAGAGTCAGGAGATAAGCATCACTGCTTAAATGAGGCTCCAAGTATTCAGAGGATTCTGGTGACTGGTCAGTTTTTAGACCACGTAAAAAGCTTTTTTTGCTGCTTAATATGACTGAAAGTGAGAAGGGGATAATGGTTAATTTGCTTTTTTATTATCTATGAACTTTTTTCTTGCAGTTAATGCAGGGCAGATTTCTCACTCCTTTACCTGGTTCTGTGGGATTTCAGTCCTGTGCCTCACAAACCACTGTCTCATTTGACCAAAAAACCTACTCATCAGAGAAAAACAGCAACTCATGAGGCACGTGAAAGCAGTTGTAATGGTGCCTGTAGGTGTTGAAAGACACAGGCTGGGCAGACCTTGCAGGATTCCAGCCTCCTGAGCCATGGAAGAGCTGCGATTCTGGCACTGCCAGTCACCTCCTGCATCCTGATGTCCCAGGAGCAGGGACAGAAGGGGAGACGAGACACTTTACAGGGAAGTAAAATGGTCTCTTTTTTCATTTAGAGGAACAGTGTCAGGGAAACAGGGGGTCCAGATGAAAAGCACAGACTGGGTTATGTGACAGACTGCTGCAGTTTGAGGAGACTAAGATGAACAGGAGTCAGCAATACAGCAAACTAGTTTAAAATAATGAAGTTCAGTTCTTGGACTGGAAGGGATGTGAGACTGAGGAGGGTCCCTCGTTGACTGAGAGAAGGGAAATGCTGTAACGAATGGTGACCTTTGTGTGAGGGGTCTGGTGAATGTGGGTGTTCCCATTATCTGCCCCAGCAAATGGGAAGGGTGTGTGCTCTGTTTTGGATGTAAAGAGCCCCAGGAAATGCTGTGGGTAGAAACTGCAAGTTTCCATTGTGAAATACTGAGAAACACATTGCTGTACGTGTAGGAATTGGAATCTCTGTCGGTGGAGGGAACTCTGGCCCTGGATAGGTGGGAGCAGATCAAGGGAGAGCACAGACCTGCCACCAGCAGCACTGCAAAGGTGGCCCAGTTACCTCTAAGGAGCAACAGAAATACAACCTTAAATTGTACTCCCCCCGTGAGCCTGAGCCTGCTCCCACTGTCACCAGCGTTGCGTGACTCCTGTTTCACACAGCTCTAACCTCAAAAGACAGGCCTGGTTGCAGTTCTTTAAAAATTGCTGTGAAGACTCACTATCTTCAGTGTGAATTTGACAGGCTCCCAGCAGAGCCTGAGTGTTTTTTTCTATTTTTAGAGCCAGCTGTAAAGCTGTAGTCAAGAACTGCTTACATAATATTTTAAGAAATGACAGCCAAGCACAATGGCATATTTTGACCTTTGGCATTAGATAAGTAATTGGCAGATTAAGTTAATTTTTATTCAAGCAGAGAGACTTGCTTTTTGCTTGCTTGTGAACTCCTGTACCTTCACACCAGATTAAACCTCACGGGTAAGTTTTCAAAACAGATTTTGGTGTGTTGGCCTTCCTTTTCTCTCTGGTGTGAAGGAAGCTCCTCCACGGGAAGGAAGATCCCCGTGCTGCTCCCCATCAATGACAGGGAGTGCGTGGTATGTTGGTGGGGGTGGGGGTGTGCACGGGCCTGACAGGAGGGCAGGATTCCACAGTTCATGACTGACACTCCAGCAGCGCTACAAAGACTCTGAAAACTCACCTAGGAAGCATCTGTGGTGCTGTGTGGCTGAGGAGCCGCTTCCAAACCCGTGGCTCAGCATAGGTGCTCAGGGAACATTCCCTTCTCCTCTGCAGAGCGGGTTATGGGCAAGTCCGAAAGCCAGATGGATATAACTGAGGTGAGCGCTCCCAAGCCGAAGAAGAAGGGCCGATGGAGTGGCCTGGAGGTCGGGCTGGCCGTGGTGGCAGCGCTCTTGGCCATCGTGGCCGTCACCATGATCGTCCTCTACGCCACCTACGACGGTGAGTGCAGGGCAAACAGAGGGGCAGGAAAGGGTTTTGAGATGTTATCTGAAATGTAAAGCTTGAAACTGCTTCTTTCCAACCAGGACTCTCGGTAAGTTCATTTGTTCGTGCAAAGTTGTGGTAAACACAAACCAGCTGCTTGTTCTAGGGAATACTTCTGTTTGTAATTAATGCCTCAGTAAGCAAAACCCCCCCAGTTACAACACTGCTGAAGAAAACAAACTCCAGGGCTCCCTTTATGTGCCTGGAGATGTATGAAAATCCTATTTTTCCTTTTGCAGGCTGTTGCAGCAGGGACTCTCAGTGAGGGTAGTGATCCTGAGAGGTTTTGTGCTTCAGCAGCCAGAGCAAAACACTGGAAAGTACTTCCATTCAGGGGCAAATACCCTGACAAGCTTTGGAAAAGACAATACAGAGAAGCTAAAATTTCCACTTGGGGTCAAACTAGAATGTTTCCTTATACAGGGAATTAAGTGTTTTGTTTCATTTTAAATAACTTAATAATTTTGTTTAAACTTTTTATTGAAGTCTAGTTCAATTATGGAATGGAAAAATGTCATTCTGAAATGAAAAATAAAAAAAGTTTTATTTCTAAAGACTCAAAAGGAAACATTTTCATGTTCCTGAACCTTGTTTTTTGTTTAGAGGACTTCAGAGTGAATGTCTCAGAATTTTCGTAGAATTCCCCCCAGATCCTTTTGTCACTGTAAGGTATTGCTACATTCAAACTGACTTTGCAACTGCCTCCAGTCCATGTGCTATTTTTCTCTGAATTTCTGTTATAAAAATAGCATTTTGCCCACCTCCAATTGATTGATAGGACATTTTCCTCTGATGACCACAAAAATTCCACATGATGACTGACTAGCACTGAATGACCCTAAAGGGGTGAAGATGATGGTATTTTTAGAGCCTGATCCTATAAATATTCCCTTACTGAGTGTAAAGTGTCCATTCATATTTATCTTACTGTACACTGCAGTTAAATTGACTGTCAATGAAAATATTTACAGTAGGTTTTATTATATTGACATTCAGTAAAGAATTAAGAATATGATTGTATTCTCTTTTAGATGGGGTTTGCAAGACAGCAGACTGCATAAAATCAGGTAAGAATGAAAATACATACCTTTTAAATTAATTTATGTCTTTTTAAGCAAAATTGCTACTGTGGAATGTTCCACTTCTCTGCAGACAAGTATGGCACATGCAGGCATGGCATCTGCTACCCCACAGGATTTTCTTAGCACAGTTCTTCTACAGAAGTAAAATCTTGTGCTGTGGAACTGTCAGATCTTACAAAATCATCCTTCATGTCCAAAAAATTACAAATTTTATAGTCTGACAAGCTGACTTCATCCTTCAGTAACAACTGCATAAAAATTCTTCATTTACCTGCTGATCTGAACTCTGCTAGAGAACTACCACAGTGCCCCAGGGAAATGCAGAGTTCCATGCTCTGTATCCTCTTGGAGGAGGGGAAGGGGGTGTTAGCTGGGCCCTCCCTTTCCCCTCACACCTCTAGTTCTCTTGGCCTGTTTTCTTCTCCACATCAATTCACACTGTTTTGGGGTTTTTTTTTGCCTAATTTACTTCTAGATCACAGAATGACAGGATCACAGAATGGTTTAGGTTGGCAGGGGCACCTTCCACCAGCCCAGGCTGCTCCAAGCCCTGTCCAACCTGGCCTGGGACACTTCCAGGGCTGGGGCAGCCACAGCTTCTCTGGACAATCTTTCAGCTCTTAAGCTGAAACCCTCTTTCAGCCTAAAGCCATGAAATGTCCCCACTCTCTTTATAACACTCCCTCCACCTCATTCCCAGGCTCAGGAGGAGCCCCTCTCTCTCATTTCTCAAGAGAAGGGAGCATTTATCTGGCTGTGCCAGCATGTATTTCACAGGGGCTCTGTGCCAGCTCTGCCTTCTCCTTTCCAGCCATTTTCCATCATGCCCTTGCAGAGTTTCTCCACGGCAGGAGAGCCCTGCTCTGCCAAGGTGGAGTCACCTGCTCTATCTGTAACAGGGCTCTTTTTTCATGGTGTGTTTTTCTGGGAAGCTTCTGAAATCCCTCTCTGGGTGTGTCTTTGGGGCAGTCGTTCATTCCTTTTTCTTCCTCCACCCCTGTGGAATAACTTGGCTACCAAGCTCACAAAGGCTGTGGTCCCGTCACAGAGGTTGCCAGGCAGTCCCAAGCTCAGGAACTGCATATTGTCACCAGCACGCTCTAAATGCAGGATTTATTTCAGGTGGTCATCCCTGTCTTTTCATGACACTTCCAAGGTGTTTTCCTCCCACCATGGAAGCTCGTGCTGTGGTTTGGAATATGATCAATTTAGTTATCTGCTGGATTGTTTTCATTTTCAGCTAAATATACGTCTGCTAGAAAGGAGTTCAGATAGACTATGTGATGATGAACCAACTCCAAAGGATAAGCAGGAAAGGTTTGGAGAAATGAGGCACAATGTAAAATGAAGAGCTAGCAAGAAGTGCCTAAACAAATTGAGCAGAATAGTTTCACTCTTTTCTGCTTCTGTGAAAAGCTTTAAAAACAGCATTTAACCACTGGAAAATATTGAAGATATTGATAGAGCATTTGAGAGAAGAGCTTCCAATAAATGACCAGCAATAAAAATGTAATGAGAAGTCAGTTGGTCATAGGCAGGGTAAAATGTCAGTAAGAGCAGGGTGGTGTCACCCATGGTGGGGGAGATCCACAGCAGACACCATGGAATGGGACACTGGAGCACTTTTTGGCTGAGCTGACACTCTGCTCATTTCCCTGAGCTCAGACATCAGAAGTGCCCGGTGAGCAGAGGGGATTTTGATCTCTCCCCTGTTTCACCTAGGTAAGCACACTGTGTTGCTCCTGTATCCTCCCCAGGTCACCAGTTGTTATGGCAGCTTATATTACTTTATTTGTAAGCTATTAGAGCAACAACTGGCACTGTTGCTTTAATAGCAACCAGAGTACTACAGTAAAATTAATCATTAAAAGTAATTGAGATAAGGCTTTACGTTTTCAGTACAGGTAGGCAACTGAGTAAACCAGTGATCACTGTCTGGGTGGGAGAGGAATAGGAAAGAGAAAAAGCCCAGAAGGTTTATGGGCAGCTGATGGGAAACTCCCATCAAGGAGCTGGGTTTCACTGGAGAATCCGGTGTCACCATCGGTCAGTGACCAGTTGTCTTGGACAAGGCACTTCAAGAGGGTCAACAGGGACAGCAAGAGGCACTATCAATTCTAGAATAAGATGTGGAGTAACAAAAGTGAGTGTAGCTTCAGGAAAGTATCAATAGAAAAACCTTCCTGACAAGAACTTAAAAGGTCCAACAAAGTCAATATTTTACTGAAATAGCCTGGATTCACTTGAGCCTACATCCTACTTAAACAATTCCAGTGAAAGCTTCACCTCTGCCATGTCTTGTGCCTTTAATGCCCCTTTTCACCCCACTTCAATACAAAGAAGGGTAAGTCAGACAATGAAACATTTACAGTTCATTTAGAACTGAGCAGGGGAGCAGCACCCTGGACTCATTCACCCGTCAGCAAACACGGGCAATGGAGACTGTGGGGGCTGTGTCAGCCAGGAACAGCCAGTCCTTGGGCTGTGCTCTGCAACAGTCAAGTGGGCTCGCCCCTGTTCTGAACTGAATGTATCTGTGAGCTCCCCATTCCGAGCACATGAGCGTGTCCCCAGTGACCATTCCCTGTCCATGTGTGACCATTCCCTGTCTGTGTGTGACCATTCCCTGTCCATGTGTGACCATTCCCTGTCCGTGTGTCCCCAATGACCATTCCCTGTCCATGTGTGACCATTCCCTGTCCCTGGTGACCGTCCCCTGTCCGTGTGTGACCGTTCCCTGTCCCTGTGTCCCCGGTGACCGTCCCCTGTCCGTGTGTGACCGTTCCCTGTCTGTGTGTGACCATTCCCTGTCCGTGTGTGACTGTTCCCTGTCCGTGTGTGACCATCCCCTGTCTGTGTGTGACCGTTCCCTGTCCGTGTGACCGTCCCCTGTCCGTGTGTCCCACAGCTGCCCGGATCCTGGAGAACATGGACAGCAGTGCCCAGCCCTGCGGGGACTTCTACCAGTTTGCCTGCGGGGGGTGGCTGCGCAGGAACGTCATCCCCGAGACCAGCTCCCGTTATAGCAACTTTGACATTTTGAGAGACGAACTAGAGGTCGTTCTGAAAGGTCAGTGGGGTTTGTTTGTGGACCATGTAAAGTTTCTTCTTTGCCTTTACGTGTTATCCTAAGGAGTTGTGGTTTTCTAGCAAAGCTGAAAATACCACCAGATATTTCGAGGGTTTGTGTTCAGTGCCCCAAACTGTTTGCTTGGAGAAGGCTGTGGGAGTTCTGCTGCTGTGTCTGGCACTGGGGCAGAGCTGACCAGACCTGCCCTTTCTGGTATCTGCTTATTATAACCACTGAAATGCCTACCCTGACCCTCATGCACTGACACAGCAGCCAGGCAGGTGAAGGAGGAGGAGGAGGTCTGCCCGTGCCCAAGCCAGCTGGAATGCTGGAAGCTGCTCCCCAGCAGCCCTATGCCCTGCATAGCTGTATTCCATCAGAAATCCCAAAGAACAGGCAAGCCATTTCCCAACCAGTCACACCATAAACTTGCAAACATTCCTTTTTCCACAAAATGCAACAGTGTCAAATCGTGCACAATTCCCTTTTTCAGACAAGAATAACAGAGTCAAAGAAGTCAGTTTATACTCAGGAAACCCTCCCCAAACCTCTCTCTCCACACTGAATACCCTTTTTTTACTTCACCTATCTCCTGGTTTTGCCAGCTGTGCCTCCACATGATAACCTGGCCACCTAAAAACTGCCCCTGGGAGGTCAGAGCATTTGTGTTTCACCAAGGGTGGCCCACAGAGTATCTCCTGACTCCTCTGTGCTCAGCTCATTAACACAGACTGATGTAATTGCAAGGCATTGAACCTCCAGAGCTTTTCCCCCCCAGCTTTTGAAAGGCAAAGCCCCCCCGGCATTAGGGAGGGACACAGAGTATTTCCCATCCCCCTCAGGGCTGTGTGCCCTCGTTCCCTCAGCACTCCCAGCCCAGCTCAGCCATCAGCATCTGCTGTCTGTGTTTCAGATGTCCTCGACACCCCCAGCACCAAGGACATCCCTGCAGTGCAGAAGGCAAAAACTCTGTACAGGTCCTGCATTAATGAAAGTAAGTGTCTCCTGAGTTTACTGCATTGACATCAGCCACAGAACCCCACCTCATCACACAGCTCTGCCTGTACCCAGCCTGGGCAGAATCTGTCAGAAATTCTATGTGAAAACTACAATGCATCCATCCTAGAGAGTCAAAGAGGAACGTTAATGGTAAAGTTAGCACTGTATCTCCTGCTTTACTACCTATGGTATCTTAGCTGAGATTACATTACTCTTCAGTTACTAGTTTGCTGCAGATATTTAAACTCAAATCCTTTCAGTTAAATATGAGTTAATTCTTTTGTAGAAATTAGCAGGGATGAGGTGAAAGCTCCCTGGCATTACCAGGCTGTGGGAAGACAGGGAGACCATTTAATTCAAGAGTCTGAGCTGGGCTCTGCCACTGGAACAAAGAGCAGTAAAACAGTTTGCAGGGCTTCCTAAATCACATATTTATAGTTTTTATAGTGTTATTAATACTTCTCAAAACTATTATTTCAAGCTCTCTGCAGAGAGAAAAGACAATAGTTCTTCAATGTCAGGGTTGCAAGGATGTGCACATGCTGTTTGCATCATGACTGGAATGTTTTCACATTAAATGTTAAAGCAGAGTCATCCATCAGAGCAAACTGCTGCTGTGGTGATGGGGGAAACAGAGTTCCCAGCTTCACTGTTCCAAACTCATTACAATATATAACATTTGTGGGGTTTAAGATGTCATGGTAACACATTTTGTTTTTTCCAAAAGCTGCCATTGATAGCAGAGGTGGAAGGCCTTTAATCAGTTTATTGCCAAATGTGTCTGACTGGCCTGTAGCATCAAGTGACTGGGAGGCTTCCTATGGTGAGACAACCTGTGCTTATTTCTGTTCAGTTAAAATATCTAAATTACTGTGGGTTTTATTGCTTACCAGAAATCACGACTGAACACACCTTTCCTTTCCTTTCCTCAGGTACTGCCTGGACAGCTGAGGCAGCTATTGCACAGCTCAACTCCAGATATGGCAAAAAGGTCCTTATTAATTTTTTTGTGGGCACAGACGATAAGAATTCCACAGCACACATCATCCATGTAAGTCCCCCTGGGGGCCAGGGCCTGGCTGATCACAAAAGTGCAGCAAATAACCAGAAGCACAGACAGAAACACCAGCAACACCAGTGATCTGAATTTACCAGAGTATGTTGGAGGGGAACTGGTGAATCAATGTAGTTTCAGCTTCAGTTCTCTGTGTCCCAGTGCCCTGTCTGTTCTCCAGGCTGACATCCCTGTTCTGTGCACTCATACCCTGTTATCTTCAGTGAGATGGGGAATAACAGATGTGTGTAATACACACAGGAGTTACAGGAGCAAAGGGCCAGTCTCTCCTGTCAGTGGTAGATGGATCCATGAGCACTGCACATGGATCATGTATGAATTCCAGAGATGCAGGAACTGCCTGGCTTCTCTGGGGGCTGTTTTATCACCTGGACTTCACCTGTTTTCACACTGGTTACCAGCAGCTTGCAATGTAACAGAAAAAAAGACTGAAAAGAAAGGCAAAAAGTATAGGGAGAGTGAAAAGAATTAAAGGTGAGGAGGAGAGAGAAACTTCCCTATGGCCAGAGTGAAGCCCCAGCACCTGTAATTCCCAAGAGAGAGTACAATGCTCTGCCATTTCAGCCTGAAGTACTTTTCCATTTTTGTTTGCATTTTCAGATTGACCAGCCTGGCCTGGGCCTGCCTTCCCGGGACTACTACGAGTGCACTGGGGCATACAAAGAGGTAAGGGGGGGCTGCATCACTGAGGACATTTCACAGGTTTTAGGCTGTATTTTCAGGGCAGACACATCCTCAGGAGTGGGCACGAGTGAAGGACAGAACACTCTTTCCTCAAAGAGATTCCAGTGCTGCCCCTGGAAAACATCCCTGGGAGAATGAGGGAAACTGGAAGGGAAAGGTGATGATAATGAGCATTTAACCAAGGCTACAGTAACAGGCTTGGGGAGAGAAACAGAACCATTCAGAGCCAAAGACACACTTTTCTGCAGGAAAGATCTGAAAAGATCACAGTCCTCTACATCAACTGTAGCTAAAGTATGTGATACCACTGGAATTGCTCAGATACTTGAAACCTCACATGGTCTCCTTTAATTCCTCTTTACTCATTACTGGTACATGCTCTCATTAACCTGTTAGCACTGACACTGTATCTCTGTTGCTAATCTTGGATGTGCTTTAAGTCCTTGGGAGCTGCAGTGTCTGTGTTTGCTGAAGTCATGGAGCTGAAACTGCTACCACAGTGACCTTTAATTACCCACTTTTCTTCTGTGTAATTAAATGCAGAAGCAATGAGAAAGTGTACAGACCATTTTGGGTTTGTTTGTGTTTTGCTGACCTGCCACCAGTTAATGGTGATTACATTTAATTACAGGTCACATGGTCATAAAAGCCAGTCATTGCCACCTGAACCTTCCAGCTCCATGATTGTCACCCATGTGGATGGGATGGCCTTTGGGAGCTGGCTCAGGGAGCACCACCTGCTCCTTCCTTGGGCTGTGTCAGCTGCAGCACTGGGAGACAATTCCACAATTCCCATCCTAATCTCTGACCTATCTGAGTATCAGCTTTGCACAGCAGAGGAGGAAGGACTCTGAAAGCCCAGCTGTGTGACTGCCAGGCAGGTTCCCATCCCCTCCCCATCCCATGACTGCTCCAAGGGGAGCAGTTCCCTGCCGTGCCCATGGTCTGACAGAGCCTGTTCCTGGCTCTGGTTCCTGCTGTGTCACTGCACTCTGGGACTGTCCACAGCAAACACCAGCTCTGCCTCCTGCTCTCTGACCTCTGCCTCCCTCAGGGCTCCCCACCCAGACACACGGGTGGAACCTGGCAATAAAAACCATCTTCTGCTGTGACATCAGGCCAGCTCAGCTCACACAGGAGCCACTCTGCCATTCCCTCTGAAACATCTGACAGCCTTTATTCAGGCCATCTGAAATCAGCTGACTGAGTTCTTTGCCACCTGACCTAAGAGCTGCACTTTAGGACAAAAACAAAGTCCAGGGACTGGTGCCTGAAAGGCTCTGTTGACTTCCTGGTGTGGGGTAATATCTGTACTGAATTTTCAGGTGGTTTTTCCAGGCTTGCTGTGCACTGTCTGTCGTGACTCGTTGTAGCTCTGTGGTCTCATGGGCTCTCCTCTTTCATCACCAGTGGCACTGAGAGCTCAGTCCTGCCTCTGGGCACTGTGCTGGCAGCACCTTCTGAGCTGCTCAGTGCCCACACCCCAGCCAGGTACAGCCTGGCACTGCTGCAGGGAGGGAGGGATGCCCAGGAGGGGAGTTCTGGAGTGGCTGCACGTGGGACATTCATTCCAGGGGTGTGTCCTGCTCCCGAGGAGCACAACGTACCAAAATACTGCTATTAATAAAGCTGATGATGTGCACACCTTATTAATCCTACCTTTAATCACTGCTTTGGGAGATCACAGTATATTGCATAAAACATAGATTATTTCATAGCTAATCTAGTATTATGTATTTTTTTTTAAATTTACATTTAAAAAGAATATTGAAAACAGCATTTCTGTTGATAGAAAAGTGAATGTGGCTTATCAAAGAGGAATTAGAATAATACTGAGTTCCATAAAATATAATGACACCTGTAGTGATTTGACAGTGGGACATTTCAGACAATTTACTGCCCTATTTACATTCTTATCCTTGGTGAATTCCTTCCTGTTTAATTTAATATATACTGTCCTGTCTGTAGTATACCTAACTTTGGATACAGTGCCACAATTTCCAACTGTTCCCAGAAGCACTGGAGGAGGCTCACTGCTCTGGGAGTGCTTTTCCCACAATGCTAATTCCCTGGTTTTCTGTTCCTGGGAACACTGCTCTTTGGAAGCGGTATTTTTGGAAGTTGTAATTAAAGTGAGCTACAAAAACAGGGATGATGGTTTAAATATGGACGTACAGACGTCTCAACTGCAATAATGAAAACACAGTGCAGTCATTGAGCATGTTTAGCTTTGAACAGTGCTCCAATTACACAACAGTTTTCCACGAGGGAATTTTCAAAGTTAATTTCTAGCTGTGACCTAGCAGTATTTCAGAATAAAATTAAACTGCTTAAGCAAGGGATGAAGATCTGTAGTTCATAAAAATAAAGACAAAATCTTAGCTATGATCAAGGCATGCTTTACTCTGAAGAGTTTTGTCTTTAAAATGTTCCTATTTTTCCCTGCAGGCATGTTCTGCCTATGTTGATTTCATGATTTCTGTAGCCAAACTAATCCTAAGAGAAAGAAACATTTCTGTCAATGAGGATGAGATTTCTCGGGAAATGAATACAGTTATGGACCTGGAGAAAGAGATTGCCAATGTAAGAAAAGCATTTTTAATGTGTTCTTTACATAACTGACTTTTTCCCTGATACCTAAGAAAGTGAACTGTAAACTGAGTTGTTAAGTGACCCGCTGGTGGTATTTTGTGGGACCAAAAATGAATGTTACACCTGAGAGGAGCATGTCCTGATGCAGACATGTCCTGGGAGGAGCCAGGGAAAGGATCCCAGTCAGCTGTTTGCCAAGGAAATGTTTTACCCTGAGCTGTTCACAGAAGCCCTGCAAGAGGAGACAGACAGACTTGGGCTCTGTTTAATGTGGTTTGGAGTGTGAGTTTTGGGAGATGCTTTGGGGCCTCTCCTCCCTTTGTCCTGTTTCCCCGTGGGCTGTTTGGATCCCAGAGCAGCAGATTCCCAGCCCTTGGCCTGCCCTGAACACAAAGTCATGTTTGTGCTGCACAAGCTGCTCCACAATGCTGATTGTTCCAAGAGCATTTTTAATCAAACACTGTTCTCCATTAAAAGGAAAGGACAAAGGAAAAATAATATCATGAGTTTGACTTTGGAGAAATCGTGAGAATGTGAACTTGCCCGGAGAAAACCAAATGGAAACTCAGGCATTCAGGAGCAAACCATGGCTTGTGGTTATTAACTATTGCAGCAGGACCTGAAGCTGAGGATGACTGTGGAACAAGTTAAAGACATATTTTCTACCTTCAGCTATTTTTCAAGTTACACTGATAGTAAGGGCACATGTTGGGAAAACCATCTGTGTAAACTAAAACCATCTGATTTTGACTTTCTTCACATTTTCCTGAGAATCACAGCCCTGATCTCAATCAGAGATGGGAAACTATTACCGAATAATGAATTCACTGGAGAAAGATTTTACAGAGGAGTATGAAAGGAACCCACACCTGCAATGTCTCTGCAGCAGTTGCTGCTGACAGAGAGTCCAGCTGGTGCTGGGGAAGCTGCCTCTGCTGGGTTTTAACCTTCCATCCAAAACTCAGCATCAGCCTGAGAGTGACTGAAGAGAGCTGGCATTGTGCTCTTGGGAATCTGTTAAAACACAGAAAAACCCCACTGAATGCACAATAGGAAAGGGGAAGCAGAAGAGGAGGATGGGGATAAAATGAGACTTGGCATGACTGATTTTTCAAAACACTTCAGTTGGTAAAATCTGCAGTTCTGGAGGCACACATTGAACTCCCTGGTGCAAAGGCACATTGCCCAGAGTAACCCTGAGCCTGTGGCAGTGGTGGGCTGTGGCTCCCTGGCTGGGCAGGGCATCCAGAAAGAACATACAGGGCAGCACGTGCATCCTGGTCAGAACCAAAAATCCTGGGAGCTGACTCGGTGCACTCAGTAATTGTCTCATCATTAACTCTGATAGGCAACAACAAAATCTGAAGACAGAAATGATCCACTTTTGCTGTACAATAAAATGACACTGGCACAACTCCAAAGCAACTTCTCATTGGAAATCAATAACAAGGTGAGTGATCATTAATCTGATATTTTAACCCCTAATTTATCACTGATAAGATTAAACAGGAAAGCCTGAATTTTTTTTCTGTTAGAGACATTTCTTTCCTAAGCTGAGCTATGTTTGCAGTTGAACAGGATCCCTGATGTGCACAGTTGTACCTCCACTCCTGATGTCCCTGAACTGGATGTACAAGGCTGTGCCTCTGTACTCGCTGTCTCTCCTGACAGATCTTGCCCTCTGCCTCAACATAAAGTAGTGGAAAGGGACAAAGGAAAAAAATATCCAGTGGAAGGTGTCCCTGCCCATGGCAGGGGGTTGGAACTAGATGATCTTTAAGGTCCCTGCCAACCCACAGCAGCCTGGGATTCTGTGGTTCTGTGAGTTATCCTCATGGGTCCCTCTTGCCAAGCTGACATGCACATAACCCTTGCTGGCCATCAGGATGCTCTTGCACCCTTTGCACAGGACCAGTAAATCCCCTTCCCATAATTGCCAGGGCAGCTCCCGAGGGCCAGGACCAAAGGCCAGCCTGCAGCCAGCAGCTGGCTCAAGGATGCAGCAGTGGAATCCCAGCCCCTCTGTTCATCCAGAGCTGCAGAGGCAGAACAGGATATCCTGATTTTCCAACATTCCCTCTGTAATTCCCAAAGCAAGCACAATGAGCCCAGAAGTCAGGAGCACGAACCAGGACAACCCTCCTGCACGTGCCAGCCCTGCCTCTGCTCTCAGCCCCAGCCACTGCTGTTTGTGCAGTGCAGCCTTCAGCTCATGGCACCAGAGTCTGCCTAAAAACCAGCTCAAGGTCTGCTAGCACAGCTGTGTCTCCTCAGGAGCATCCTGTCCTACTAGACGTGGGTGTATTTGATCCTAAATGACTTTTATGGAGGCTTCTGAGGCCAGTAAGGTGCTATGGAACACCATTATTCCTGCTACACTTTCATAATCGTTGTGATTTTATTGACTTTAAATTCTTCACCTTTAGTTCTGCGACGGTTCCCTCCTGCCTGGCTTAATTGGTTCCATAATTCACCTTCTCCCACAGGTGCAGTTGGTTACCATTACAGTCACCTTGTCAGAAACCAACTTCTGTCACAGAATGGCACTGCCCTGGTTATTATTAGTTCCTGGGGGGTGCTGCAGATCAGCAGTAATTTAAATTTATTCCAAAATGCTCAAAAGACACATGATGGGAGTTGGTAGCGTGGTTGTAATGGTCTAAGGATAGAACAGCAATAATTCCCAAGATTAGCTTCAAGTTTGCTGCTCCCTTTCCAGACCTGCAGTGACTGTTCTGAAAGCTTTTTTGCTCTCCTCAGCTACATTTGTTTGCCTGATGGAAGATGTTACCTCCTCCAGTAAAACTTTCCAAAGACACAGACTGGGAAAAATCACCAACACTTTTCAAAGCAATAGGAAGAACAAAAGCTTTAAAAAATAACAAAAAATTTTGTTAGTTTGAAATCAAAGCAATGTCTTGACTCTTTCTGCTGAATTCCACCCTATTTTAACAGGACTTTAGAGCGATAAATGATCTCAGGCCATTATTGGGATGATGACCCCATTTACAAGCAGTGCAGCTATTAGGGAAACTAAAGGCAGAGCATTTGTGTCATGCAAACATATTTAAACTGGAAAAGACAGCCAAACGCTGCTTGTTTATGACTGAACCATGTAATAATGCATATTAATTTTCCAGGCATTCAACTGGTCAGAATTCATCAATGCCATCATGTCAACTGTGCAGATCAGCGTGGCCAGCACCGAGCACGTCATTGTTTATGACCCCGACTACCTGCTCAAGCTCAGGTCCATCCTCAGCAAATACACCCCCAGGTAGGTGTCTGAGGGATTCCTGGCACCTGTGGTTTCCTTCCAGTCAACTCAAAAAGCCTCAAAACATTCCCAGCTTATTACTGGTGTCCTTTTGTTAAACAGAGACCTCCAGAATTACATGACCTGGCGGTTTGTGATGGACCTTGTCAACAGCCTCAGCCGGGACTACAAGGACACCAGGAATGCTTTCCGCAAGGTGCATAAATTCATCTCTAAGTTGTAAAGATGACTTTTGTGAACCACAAAAGATATTTTTTTTTCTGTAGGTGTAGTATATAAATATTTAATGTATTTTGGATTTTGCACACAAAAGCCAGATGTGTTTGCTGAGCCTCTGCTGGCGAGTATCCATAATTTATGTGATTTATGCCTGATAGCTGAGTGGATCTGAAAGCACTGCTCTGGTACTTGGGCTCTTGTTTTTCTGAATCTAAATGAATCCCCATTTTGATACCAGAACAGTCCCATTTATTTGCAGGGCATTACAGTTCTCACTGACTTGTTACAAACTCTTCAGCAAACATTATGGGTCCAATCTTGTTTTTCAGTCATTAGATCCCACAGATAATTAGTGCTTTTACAGAGATGCTGAGCAACTTCACAGATTGGACACAGAAGTTCTTTGTATCATCCACTCAGCTCTATCACGTACCTTGATAATGTGTTATCACATATTTACATTATCATGACAAAGCCCTTGCACACTTTATGACAACATCACACAGAGTAAAGGAGATTCTACTTCCCAAGCTCCTGAGGGGTGGCAGGCTCCAACAGAAGTTGCTGCTTGAGTGGAAAACACAATCTTAGCACTGCAGAAATTAATCTGCTGCTTAATCACAATGGCCCCGTCAGAGCTGGAACTGCAACACTGATCCCTGTACCAGTGAAAGTGTCAGGGCACTCCCCTTCAACCTCTCCCATTTTAGCTTGTAGAGTAGTTTTCTTCTTCCTTTCCTGTTCCAAAAGGATGAAGAATTTTTGCTGCTGATCCACCTCTTCCCCCACCCTGTGACTGCTGTTCCCATCCCAGAGTGAGCCCACCTCAGTGCCCCAAACACAAGGATGAGTTCAATGTGTGTATTTGAGGCCAAAGAGGCTCCTCTGCCTCACAGCCCTGCCCGTCAGTCCCTGCTCTGCTCCCCTGGAACCCCTGTCTGACCTGCTGGTTGTGTTTCCCAGGCACTCTATGGCACAACCTCCGAGACAGCAGTTTGGCGTCGCTGTGCCAATTATGTCAACGGGAACATGGAGAACGCCGTGGGACGGCTCTACGTGGAGGAGGCCTTTGCTGGGGACAGCAAACACGTGGTAAAGCTCTGAGCAAACCCGGCCCAAGCGCCATCAAAGTGTCACCTCATCCTCACCCGCCCTGCACTTCTTGACACTGCTTTGATTGCACTTTCTATTAGCGTGTAATCAAAGCGGGTTTGATCTCTCAGTTTTTATAAAGTGTGAATAACAGTTAGTACAAAGTTTTAAAAATTGAAGTTTCCGTTAAAGTAATGTGTGAGATGTGAGGATTGCACATCCCCTGGAGGGAAAGAGGCAGCTGCCTGCAGGTCCCTCAGTAGCACACCAGTGCCTGTCCCAGGAGCAGCACTCACTGACTGCAGCAGTCACTGCTGCTCTTGGAGACTGACACCATTCACATCCTGCCATCCTGGGCCACAGGGACAACTGCCTATTTCTGGCTGCCTTCAGTCCCACAGAAAAGTGCTGAGAATGACCCTGAAGTGAAGCCTGAGGTGACTCTGATCCCCCCTGGAATCCCGGTGTTCTCACATACCCCACAGTGCCCTCAGGTGCACAGTGTCCAGTGGGGTGTCTGTCAGTTTTTGGTGACCTGCAGGACTCAGCTGCATTGCCTGGGGAGCTCCTGCCCTTCCAGGACAGGCTGAACATGCTCCGTGCCTGGAGCTGCAGGTTTTACTGTGAGCCCACACAGAGGGGCTGCAATAATCAAACTATGGCTGGGCAAAACTAACATCATTTTCTGTGCATTTGTAACACTCTGGTGGTTTTTCCCAGGTTGAGGAAATGATTGCAGATATACGTGATGTTTTTATAAAAACCTTGGATGAACTTTCCTGGATGGATGCAGAGACCAAAAAGAGAGCAGAACAAAAAGTAAGCTCTGTCTTAAATATTGGTAATGTGTACTTCTATAAAAATCAGTGTGCCAGTTGTTTGTCCTGACAAACATAAGCAGTAACTCTATCCCATTCAAAGGCACACACATCTGTGTTTATATAGGCACAGCAGCTTACAGATTCCATGGAGAGAGGCACAAAAATAGGAGGAATCTGTAGACAAGATTAAGACCTTTCAGGCAAATCAGTAATTAAAGGGGGAGATGATAAATATCTACAGGAAAGCAATACTGAAAATGGCAAGGAATGATTTGTGGTGATTTGACCAGCTACCAGGAGCAGCCACAAACCAGTGCTTTCAATGAATAAAAAACGTAAACCAAACCTATATATAATTAAAATGCCGTGGTTTCTGCAGCAGCTTCCATATTGCCTTGATTATATAATTTATGCCTGATTCAAATCATGGCTGGATTTGCTCTGAGTATCAAACTCTTCTGTCCCCAGGCAAGAGCAATCAGAGAGAGGATTGGTTACCCTGACGAGATCGTGACAGACGACAACAAGCTCAACAGTGAGTACCAGGAGGTGAGTGAGAACCTGCCCAGCTCTGCAGAGCCCTGCACTGGCTGCACCAACCACAACTCACCCGGGGGGTCCTTCCCACTCCAGCTCACCACCAAACTGGTTAAGGTCAACACCAACAGCTGCTGAACTCCGCTCAAAATACGTATATAAAGAGGGAATAAAGAGCTCTGGGAAAAAAGCTGCTACCACATCTCCAGCTACAGTATCAACTCTGTGGCATAGCAGGGCACTGCAAACCCAGGGCTAACTGCAGAGCAAAAAACACTCTTAGGAATGTGTTCCTTTGCTCATCATGCTTAGGGCTACATTTCCCTCATCCATGTAGCTTTTATTTCAAATAGTAACACCACCACTAACTCCTCCCCCTTTCTTTTCAGTTGAACTACAAAGAAGAAGAATACTTTGAAAACATTATTCAAAATTTAGTATTTACCCAGAAGAAAAGGTTGAAAAAGCTCAGAGAAAAGGTGGACAAAGAGGAGTGAGTATTTAATAACACTGTGTCTAGTTTTTTATCCAGTTTGCCTGGGAGAAGGTACCTTCCAACCTCAGTCATTCTGCAATTCTGTTACATGGTTTCTGGGTTTATTCTCGTAATCATTAACTCTGCCATTAAGAGCTGAAATTCTAACATTTGTTCTTCTGGTGTTACCAGGTGGATAAGCGGAGCTGCTGTTGTCAATGCTTTTTACTCAGCAAGTAGAAATCAGATAGGTAAGGTTTACCAACTTACTAGTGGGATACAGATTTAAATGGCCAAATTATTTTTATATGTATGTATGTATGTGTGTGTCTTTAAAATTAAGAAGTGAAGTGATCTTGATACTACAAATCTGAGTATAAAGATTTCTAATGTCAGCCTGTCCAAAACCATCCATGGTTAAAAATAACTCAACATAGAAGGGAGAGCATTAAACTGCCTTTAAAGAAACAAAAAAAGTCCACTCTAGCTACAGATTAGAACCACGTGGAGGTCCTGGGGTTTCTCCTCTCGTGAACCCTCCCGGCTCCCTTCACAGTGCTGCAAGTCTTGCAAGAGTCACAAAACATTTCACAACATTAATTATGCCTCTCAATACTTCTGTCATCTCCATCTGCAAAGTGTTGCCATTCACATCCCAGCCTGCAGGCTCCTTTCTGAGCCATCAGTGAGGTACCAGGAGCCACGTGTAGCTCCTGAAAACAAGGCTACATAGGTGGAAAACCTCTGGCCTGCAGGGCCCTGTGCAGAAAGGAAACAATATTATTTCTTGATGTGAGCATTTAGCACAAAAACCCGCTCAGAAGGCTTTGTTTCAAAGAGGTTTGTTCAGTAATTCCCAGGAATCAGGAAGACTTAAGCTGGTGACTGGCAGTTAATGTGAGCCATAAATCCTTACCTCATCCTTCAGCTATGGCATGCACAGGATAATTAAAGCAGTCTGATCTTTAGAGTGATGTCTGAATTAGTTAGCAGTAGGCTCAAGGAAAACCTCTGAAGAGCAGTTCTGTGCATGATGTGTAGGAAACTTAGAGCCCTGTTGTGACATTTGAACATGGTCTGACCTGCACTGTTCCAGCAGCACTCGGACCATGAGGAAGCCACTCGGGTTCCAAAGCCCAGCTGAGGGGCTGCTGCTCAGGCACCCAGGAGTGTTCCTCAGGCACCCCCTGGCTCTGAGCCTGCACAGCCTTCCCAGTGCCCATCCCCTGGCAGCGCTTCCAAGGCCAACAGCTCCCTGCTCCTGTGCTCCAGAGATCCCTCCTTTCCCAGCACACACCGTGGCACTCACACTCCTGTCACTGTCAGTGCTTTCTGACAACAACATCAGAATATTTGCACATTTAGTTCCAGTCAAACCAGCAATGGAACACAACTGCTGTGGCAGCAATTTGCAGGGCACAGCACAACTGGGTTTTTTCTAACCTGTTTATTATTTACAAATTTTCTCATGGTTCTTTCTCCTCTTGAAAGAAACCCCTAGAACTGAACTGGGTTTATGCTGAAAGGCAAGAAGATTTCTTTCTCTTGCTGTCTGAGAACTGTCACCTAATTCTTCTTTTCTGTTCAAGTTCTGTAGAGTTACATCCATCTCCTTCCCAGTGAGAGTTAACACTTTGTATTGCTGCAGTGGGCAGAGGTGCAGGGAAAAGGCACGAGATACAGAACAGAATATTTTATAGTATTTTACTATTCTTCATTTATAAAAAGATCAGAATTGCAACGTGATTTCTTTTTTACTGAATTGCTTCTTACAAGCCTAGAAAAATGAGCACAGAAATGGGTGAGAAGAACTGCTTTGTTCCAGTTCTCTCATTGCCAGCTTGGCCTATTTTTATTGATTCTAGTGGGAGTTACTGGCATTTTCAGTGGAAGAATAAATTCCTGTCTCTGAGACTGATTTGTGATAGAAGCAATGATCAAATAACTTATTCTTCCAGGGGAACACCTTCCCATTTCTCATTGTGATGTGAGGTTTATTTAATGATGAGACGGGAGTCTGAGAATGCCAAGTGATGGGAATTGGAACAAACTGCTCTTTTTGCAAAGTAAAACAGTAACAGAGCAAAAGCTGATCGTGCTTTTGAAGTGTGTGAAGGGGGGAACAGTCCTGCTGCTCTGTTCCTGCAGTCCCACAGCCACTCCCAGGTGCCAGCTCACGGCTGCTGTTGGATCTGCAGGAACAGTGTAGGCTGAAGCCAGCAATGGTGTGTCCCCAGGGACAGGGTGACAGGCAGGGCCCTGACATGTTGTGGGTTTTTTGCAGTCTTCCCTGCAGGCATTCTGCAGCCCCCTTTCTTCAGTGCCTCCCAGCCCAAGTCCCTGAACTACGGTGGGATAGGGATGGTCATCGGGCACGAGATCACCCACGGCTTCGACGACAACGGTAAGGGCTGAGCTGCTACACACACCCAGGGCATGGGGGGCACATCTGCCAGGGCTGGACCCTTCCAGAGAGCACAGAGATCAATGTCCACATGTAACAGCAAATCTAGACTTTTGAGGCATGACAGTACTGTTCTCCCAAACCCACAGTCCAAAGGGTCTGACTGACTCACTCCCCTCCTTATTGCACCAAACCCTCTTTTCCCATGTCCATAATTGTTTAATGTCTTATTGCAGGCAGGAATTTCAATGAGAACGGAGACCTGGTGGACTGGTGGACGGAGGAGTCAGCAACCAACTTCAAGGAGCTGTCCCAGTGCATGGTGTACCAGTATGGGAACTTCTCCTGGGACCTGGCCGGGGGACAGAACGTACGGCGCGTTTATGGGACACCCCCACTCTGCTTTAAGGGGCAAATGCAAGCCACAAGAAGCAATTCTCTCCATTCTACTGCCTATTTTTTCAGAGCCTGTATTCCATCACACAGAACAGGGAACAGACCAAACTCCCCGCCCTGAGGTTTCCCTAACCCATATGTTGAAGTGTTGACACTCGGAGAGAGCCCAGTAAAAACAGAGCACAAAATTTCAACACATTTTTCTGACATTTTTTCCCACATTAAGTTCAACCTAAGTATGATTCTAGATTTTGCAGCTTTGACTATCAAAACCCAATATGGTGGGCCAAAGGTTGAAAATATGATTTTTTAAAAACAAAATCAGAGATTCCCCATTACCAAAGCTTCATCATCTTTAGTGATACTTGATTGACTTAGGAATACCAGCTAAATAGAGATCTCCTATGTATCTGGCTACCAAAAAGCTACCTAACTTGCCTAATACCCAGGAAAATACCTTCTAGCAGCTTTGCTGATGTCTGTTAACAGATAATTTCAGCTCTTTGGAGTTTTGATTTTAACTTCTCCAGACTGTATGGGCTCTGTCTCCTTCCTCTAACTGGAACTGTACTAGGAACTGAAGATGAAAGACAGGGAGACAAGAGGAAGAATGAGTGACCAGTGCCTAAGCAGCAGAGAATCTGGGTGACAGATACAGAGCCTACAAAGCCTGCAGGGGAAGAGAGAGGATTAGGGAAAACAGTATCCACATGGATTTGAGACAAGGGAGACAAAGACTTTTCAGAGATGTTAACTTAATCTGCTAAACCTTCAGATTTTAAAGGAATTCTTGCCTTTAGAAGGTGAAGAATGCACAGTTTGGTGCTAAAAGGTCCCAAATGAGCTCTTTTTTTCAGAAAACTGTACTTTTCCTTTCTATTTTACAGCTCAGTGGAATCAACACACTGGGAGAAAACATTGCTGATAATGGAGGTGTGAGACAAGCATACAAGGTAAGAAGTCCAGTTTTCTGTTTCAGCTGAAACTGTCAGAGATTAAGAAAATTGGCTGCAGAGCCTTTGAAGAAGAACCACAATTTCTGTGTGAGGGACAGGACCAGAGGTACTGAGCCATGAGGCAGGGATTGAAACTACTGGCTAGTTCTGGTATTTCTTTCATCCTGTCAATCCTGTCAGGCTACATGTTACCTGTTCCTAGTGCACTCTTTTTCACCCGACTTCCATTTTGCACTTTTTCCTTTGTGAATAAACAATATGCAGAATGAAAACATTCCCTGAATCCCACTTGGACCATCACCTGACTGAAATGCTGATACCCAGCAACTGTCTGCCTCTGGCTGCCTTTTTCACCAGCTTTTTCATGCCAGGAAGGAGGGACAGAATGACCTTCTTCTGCCCCATAAACATGAAACACTTCACTGTTCATCTTGTACAGGTGACTTGGGCCCCCTGTACAGGTACCCAAAGATCAGTGACATCTGGGACTCCTTGTGCTGAGCCTTCCACGGGAGCTTGGATGCTTTTTGGCCTTCCTTTCATTCTCTTCCTGAAGCAGATGCTGGGCTTTCCAGTCTGGCCAGCTTTGAGACTGACAGCCAGAGAGACAGAGGTTCTGTTTGTGAGCGTGGTTTGGAAGAGAGTAGCTTCTCTATCAGCTTGTTATTCACAAATGTGATGGCTGCAAACCTGACAACATGATCCTCCCTCTCCTTCCCTGAACACCTTGACAACTGAATGCTGTCACTGCTCAACAAAGAGCCTGCTGGACGCACGGCCCAGCTCACACTTGTCCAAGTTACCAGCACAACTTCTCCAGAAGGAAAGCCCTCAGCAACTTCCTCACTGGAAATGAACATGTTTGAGGACAAAGACAATTATTAATGAGAGTTTTAAGAATGACTTGGAAGCTCAAAAGAGGCATCAGACTTATTAGTCTGATCTTCAGTTACTGGAACATTTGTGCAAAATGCAAAGCCATGAAAGGGGAAACTCCTTCTGAAAGGAACGGGAGTAGCCAGAGTAAAATCAGGTTGGAAGTATTAAAAATTATTACGACCTCATATAAATAGTAAAAAAGGTCCAGAAGGAATCTGGAGAGGTCTCTAGTCCACCCCCTCTCCAGCAGGTAGAATGAACCATTTCTGTGTCCTGCAGACACCCCACAGGAGCCGTCCCGCTCCCTCCTCGCGCCCTCCCGGTGCCATCGCGGCTTTGCTCCCACAGTGCAGACAGAGCAATCCGCTCCTTTCTTTCCTGTGACCTTTTACATATTTGAAGACTTACATGCTTCAAGGCCCAGACTTCTCTTCTTTAGACTAAACAAACCCAATTCTTTCAATCTTTCCTCATAGGTCATGTTTGCTAGACCTCTGCTCGTTCTTGCTGCTTTCTTCTGGACCGTGTCCAGTTGGTCCACATCTTTCTTGAAGGGCAGTGCCCAAAAGTGGACAGAGCGCTCCAGCTGAGCCCTACCCAGTGCCAAGTGGAGTAGAAGGATTACTTCATGGATCTCATATAAGCCCCTCCTGTTTATACATCCCTGTAGGACACTTGCCTTTTTTGCAGAGCTCTGGCGCTGTTGGCTCTCGCTCAGCTGTTATCCGCTCAAACTTCCAGAGCCTTTTCCATGGACCTGCTCTCTGCTCACTCCTCAGCTGCACTTGGGCAGTTATGGGCTTTGCTCGGGCGGTACCTTGGCCCTGACTTCAGGCAGAACATTTCTGCAGCCCCTTCCATCAGCAGTGGCACACGAACAGCACGTCGCTGCCACGCGGCCCCGCAGGGAACGTGAAAGCAGCTGTTCCTACCGGGGAAAGGTTTTAAAGTCTCCTGCAACTCACTTAAAAAAACCCAACCCAACAAAACCACAGTGGAAAAAATCTCCTTTTCAAAATGCAGCATTAGATAATTGATACCACAGTCCTGAGAAATGGCCCTGTCATCATGTGCTTAAAGGTGGGATGGATGGCCAAGGAGTCCATGATTAATTATGTCAGAGAACCCATGTTCCTCCTTGTCATCATTTCATTCTGATTGTCTGGGCTGGAAATTTTAACATTTCTATTCACTTCATTCTACAGGCCTATGAAAACTATGTGAGAAAGCATGGAGAAGAAAAACTTCTTCCTGGTCTCGACATGAACCACAAGCAGCTGTTTTTCCTGAATTTCGCACAGGTATCCCTTCCTTCTTGGCTGAGGCTTTGAAAAATCACCTAAGCTACACCTATCAGTAAGTCAGAAAGGGCAGGCTGACTCCCATGGCTTTACTGAGAGCTGGCAGAGCTGAGCAGTGTTCACTGCAGAGCAGGGAAAAAGTCTCATTAGGTGATTTTTATCTTCCCTCCTAAGTCTGGTAGAGAGTTTCTTGTGCCCAGTGCCTTTGTCTGAGGACAACAATACACTTTTTTTAACAAAATACACCTTTTTCTCCTCTATATTCTCATGTGACATTTATTCTCATGCCATGAATTGCTTCACAGTTAAATGACAGCAAGTCTCTTGCTGTGCAGTCTTAGGGCTGACAGTGCTTTTCCCTGTTATCTGTGCAGGTGTGGTGTGGAACGTACAGACCAGAATATGCCGTGAACTCCATCAAGACGGACGTGCACAGCCCAGGCAAATTCAGGTGAGCACATCCCTGTCCTGAGTGCAGCTCCCAGGGCACCCCAGCTCTGCTGTGGGCTGCAAGGACCTGCCCAGGGCTGGGCTGCACCTCCCAGGGCAGGTTTAACACACCCCCAGCTACAGGCAGAGCACACTGCAGGTGGTTAGGAGGAGACAGACAGACTGCCCCTCTCCCAGCCCTGTGCTGCACAAACAGGCACAGCCCTTCCCAGGGAGCTCCACAGGCAGAGAAAGGATGAGGGAGAATTGTCCTCATTTTGAAATGATACAGGTTAATTCTGCCCACACTGTGGAGCAGCTTTGAACAGGCACCACCACAGACACAAACACATCTCCTGGCTGTCACCAGACAAGCATGATTGTTATAGCAGAGTCTCAGTGACTGTGTCTGGAATCCAGGGCTCTTCCAGAAGTCCCCTGGCTCCCTCCATAGCTCCTGGGAGGGTTCTCATAGACCAAAGGCTGTGGATGGACCTTTGTCTTGCACTGAAGTCCCAGTACAATCAGTGGCAGATCATGGCCCTTGCTCGGTGACAAGCCCGTGTGCTGTGATGCAAGAGCAAACAGGTACTTTGTGCCTGCTGTGCTCTGCCAGCCTCCTCAGGGCCAGGTGAGCCATGCAGGAAATGTGGCTGCTCAGGGTGGAAGCCTTTGGGCCAGACTAGCATCTTTTCTTTTCTCTGAAGTCAGAGCAGCCTATTCATCAGCAGAGTAACAGGGTTTGTGCTCTGACAAACCTGTTTGGTCAAGTGCCATGGGCCCAGGAACAGTGCAGCCAGCACAGCATCTGCTGGCTCTGGAAGGCTGAGTCATCTCCAGACTTCATGGCCACAATGGCCGAGTTCTCTCCCAATACAATCCACTACATTAATTCCAGTATCTTTCTTTCAACGGCTTTTCACCAAAGAATTATCTTGTTTATCCCACATACTCAAACACTCAGTGAAAGCAGCGACTGTTCCCTCAGTGCTCCTTGCCTGGCTCTCAGTGTGGGTGGTTTGTGCTCCCTAGAATCTCTCTGGGAGGCAGTTTGTGCCCTACAGTCCTTCCTGTCTGGTCCCTGTGCTATGGAGGCTCCAGGGGCTCTCAGAGCCTCCCTGCAGATCTAAATTGGAAGAGGCACAAGGCCTTTGGAGTTCACCAGTTCAGCATCTCTGTATTTGGGTGTACCTTGGACACATTACACTGTGTTGTGCTGTCTGTACCTTGGTAGGGAAGGCTATAAACTCTATTTGGAATGACACAAGTGTTAATGAGAAACCATAAACACTTTTAGAATGTGAAGGCATTTTCAGGATGGGGCCTCACAAGAGCTCTAAAACAAAAGTGTTTCAGTACACGAGACCTACCCACAAAATTGATGCCTAATGACATACTACTGAAGTGTCACCAAGGCTCCCAATTTTAATTATTATTTGGGGGTGGGATGGGCCATGTAACACGGGCTACACTGACTGCAGGCTGTTTCTCCTTCCATGCAGGACAGGCTGCTCCTCATAAAACTTGCTAATTGCACAGTACAATTTTAGTTAATGGGTTCACAACTGGACAGGGAGAATGTTTGTTCCAGTAGGAAAATCAGGAGTTAACAGAAAGATGCCTTTGATCAGGTAATCACCAAAAGCAGGAGAAGGACAATGTACCTGAGTGTTAATATGCAAAATTAAAACACAGCAAGTACAATAAGAGCCCTTGACCTGTATCTGCTCAGGTACCAAATCCCTGTAGTTCTGGGGATATCAGTAAATGAAGCAGGATTCTTATCCCACTGCTGTTTTGTGTAAGTAGAATTTTAGTACGCCCCAAATACTTTTTGCTCTGTTTTGGCACAATCCCGTTTTAGCAGTTGCAGTCCTTCCAGGCAGTGAAGCACAGCTTCACCAAAATGCAGGACTTGTTCAATAATCCTGTTTCTGTGCCACCCCCTGTTCACTGCTGGCTCCCAGGACCAGTGGGCAAGAGTCACTTTTGGCCCTGTAGAGACAAACTGATGCAAGTGTCAACTGCTGAACTTCACCTCAGCTTCTGTGGGCATGTCCTGCTCCTGTCCAGTCTGATGGTTGAGATTATCCACAGAACAACCACAAATTACTCAAACAAACAGTTCTTTAAAGAACTGTTTTTCCACAGCCATTGTCCACCAGTATCCATATACGACACTGAAGCTGAAATTGTTGTGCTCCATAGGTGTGTGCTGCCATATTCCCATTCCTGAAGGACTGAGCAGCTCTTAGCAGATCTATTCACACATGTTCACAATTACACATATCAAATCAGCCTTAGCTGGAATGGCCTCATATTCACTTGAAGGCTGTTGTTTGTACGAGTCTTTTTGCCAGGAAACTCATTCACTGGAACATCTGTGGACAATGCCCAGAGAAGCAGTAGGATCTCAGCTAAAACCTGCCTGGTGTCAAAATGTAAATGAACATTCACTGACAAGTTACACCACAGTCCTCGACCCCAGGGTCTTGTTTTCCCTTCACCAAGGAACTTGTCAGCAAAATGTAGCTGAAAAAACCTTCAGTGAAAATTACAGACAAGCAAGAAACCCCTTCCAGGTGAAATAAATGGGCTGTGAGGGCCAGTAATGAGGAAGGGACAGGGCCTGTATTTTGGGGGTTGCAATGAGGGCCATACAAACTGGCAAGAGCAAACGCAGCCACTGCTTGAGGGGAAATGAAGCGTCAGAGCTCAGCAATAAGGGCGTTCCCACTGGTGTGAGTTGACGCAAACTGATGCAAACAAACCAAATTACAAAATATGGGTCGTGTTGTTTTGTTTCAAACAAAGGCAAGGAGCAATGACAAGCTGTTGTTTTGTTTCAAAGGGTCCTCGGATCACTGCAGAACTCTCCAGAGTTTTCTGAAGCCTTTTCCTGCACCACAAAAGACAACATGGATCCCGCTAAGAAGTGCCGCGTTTGGTGACAGACTGCAAACCTCCCATCCCGAGGAGCTTCCCAGGAAAAGAGACACTTCCAGCCAATTTTGAGAAGGGGAGGAGGGAAGAAAACTGAGGGGAATATGCTAGAGTAGTCACTGTAATTGTTGGTAAACATGCAAACCCCAAATCATCACCCACCAAAGCATCCCAGGAGGACTCAGGCAGCCCTGAGCTGCTGGAGCTGACTGGCTGCCTCTCCCCCACGGAACCCTGTAGGATCCAGCTCACTGACCATGTACAGCAACATGCACTGTAGTTTAACCCTGTTCCCCACAGCCAGTGGCTCTCTGGATTCATTCTGAGATGTCAAAGTCTAACCCGTGGTCTCCCAGCGGTCAGTGAGTGCCCAGCTGTGGCCAGGGGAGGAAGGAAATGCTCAGTAACACCCGGCTTTGGCCATCACAACACGACAGAGAAACGACAGCTCACAGCCCAGTGTCAGACTTTGTACCCTCTGCTGTTACGGGAAATCTGCTCTACCAAATGTTTCATCTTTACTTGAAACCATTTATACAAGAGGAGTCCAAAGACCTGCTGTACTTAGATAACTTCTCACTAATTACTCCAGCGTGTATTATCTGATGTCACTATTTACAACAGTTTATTTACTGCTTTCCAGCCCAACTGAAATTGTAGGTAATTTAATTTTTGAACCTATAATCTGTAAGATTGTGATCAAAGACCCTTTCACAGTTTTCTAAGCTTTTTCTTGCTTTCTCTAAAGTTGCTCTTTTTAAAAGTTTCTAGTAATGTATAAATCATAGTTTTTATATTTAAATCTGAGCTACACTTTTGACTTGAAGTAATGTAATATATTTTATCAGTGGCTGCATAGAACTGGGAAATTTGAGTAAAGCATGGTATTGGGCAATAAGATAAAGCCTCCAGAACTGAGTTCTCCAGTGGAGTGCACTGATATTGGAGTTTTCAGGCTGATTTCCCAGTGCTTAGGGTCTGATCCTGCACATAACTTGTACGTGTTCTGGTCGATGTCAGTCCTCACAGCAGGAAATCTGCACAGCTGATCGCAAGAGTCAGGAGGAGCTTTAAGTAAGAGGGTAAAAGGCTTTAAATCTGCAATGATATGTATTAAACATCCTCATGCAGATTGCAAAGGAACTTACTGCTTTGTGTATCAAAGCAAAGACATTACCAAACCAAGTACCAGATACCTCAGATGACTGCTACAATAGGTCTATTTAAAAACCTATGTCCTTTTAGCTTTCTGAGTTCGTCATCTGATCAAAACATTTTGATAATAAACTGAAATTATGAGCCAAATGCAGTGTGTGTGTTCTTTACAGGAAACAGCAATAAAATAAAATTCTCTGCAAATAAGTGTCTACACTCGCCCCTGAGCCCCACAGCCCAACAGGCAGAGGGAGATTCAATCCCAGTGTCCAGTGTAACCCTGCCCTGCTGCAGCTCAAGGCCATCCATCCATCCTGCCATCAGTTCTGGGGCTGTCGGGGTGTCCCTGTGGGTCCCTCCCAGCTCGGGATCCTCTGACCCCCCCAGGGCTCGTTCGTTACGTGTTCTGTTAGTAAACAAAACCCACAACAAACACATCCCGAGCTCTCCACACAGCTCCCCGGGCTGGCTCTGCACGGGAACGAACCTCTCAGGGAAAGGGAGAAGCTCCTCTGCTCTCACCCAGAACCAACATTCCCCACAGCTTTGTACAACGCGGGTATTGTAAAAGGCAAACGCAGCGAATCCTGTGCCACTGGCCCTGGTGAGGGAACAGAGCCACGGAGCTGCTCTGGGGGAGCCAGGAATGGGGCTGGAGACACACGGAGTGCCCGAGCCAGGCTGGGATCATCCCAAGGGATCCGGGCAGGGATGGCAGAGCCAGGCTGGGATCAGGGCAGGGATGGCAGAGCCAGGCTGGTCCCTGCACACCCGAAGGAATGCCCTCACTTTACTGTGGGACCCGGGAGGGTTCAGTTCCCTGCCCTGAGGGCTGATGTCCCATTACAGGGCAGGATTAAAGAATTCCAGACACACCCGCCAGTAACAAACACGGAGGGCTCCTACCTGAGGCGGCTCCGCGGCAGGTCCGGGCGAGCGGGGGCTCCGGGGGAACCGAGTCCAGGCGGCCAAGCCCTGCCGGGCTCACCCCGGGCAGCCCGAGCTGGGACACGGCCCGGGGGGGCTCTGGGGCACCCTGAGGGCTCTGGGGCACCCTGAGGGCTCCGGCCGCGGGCAGGGGCTGCGGGGCCTCGGGGCAGGGCATGGGCACCGCACTGCGGGACCACCCTTCCAGAACATTCCCTACCCACCCCTCCAGAACATTCCCTACCCGCCCCTCAGTGCCCTGCCCCTTCCAGAACATTCTGTGACCCCGCCCCTTCCAGAACATTCTGTGGCCCTGCCCCTTCCAGATCATTCCCTGCCCGCCCCTCAGTGCCCCGCCCCTTCCAGAACATTCTGTGGCCCCGCCCCTTCCAGAACATTCCCCTGGCCCTGCCCCCAGAACATTCTGTGGGTCCCCCGTGCCCTGGTGAGTGAGTGGCTGTGCCCCAGCACTGAGGGACCCTGCTCAGGGGTAACACCTGCCTGGGCTGGGGACCCCAAAGGGAGATCCTGACCGTGACTGCCCGGGGAGAGGGGAGGGGACGGGACTCTGCTCATCACTTTCCACTCCCACCCCGGAGAGGAGGAGAGGGAAGGACCCTCCATTAGCCCCCCCGGAGGGTGTGTGCTCAGACATGGGGTTACTGGTACAGGTAAGCCCAGGTGTGGGAGGCTCTGCCAAGCTGGAGCCACTGTCCTTGGAGCAGTGTGGACTGGGAATGTCCAAGAGAAACTCTGGTTTAGGCAGGTGTCACCCCAACACTCCGCTCTGTGCACACGCTTGTGCCCTGTGTAAACACCCCTAAACTGGATCACAGGCATTAAAGGAATATAAACACGAGCCCAGAGCAGTTTCCAGGATGCCACACGCAGATCCCGGGACAGATGGACAGAGACTCGTCCCTAATTGATTTACTCAAAGAGCTGTCAGGGGGAACAGGGAAAGCCACAGAGGCTGTGGGGCAAACCTGGCACCCAGCTCTGCAGCAACAGCAACCCCAACATTCCCACTTGGCTTTTGTGGACAAAACAAGGAATAATAAATTAAACTGTACAGATCATCTTAGATCACAGAAAACATCATCCCACCAGCAGGAAAAAGTAGAAATAGGCTTGGAAAAGGTGCCCACCCTAAAGGTGAGCAGGGCCCTTTGATCTTGGAGAACTGGATCTCAGGGATGGGATAGAGCTCTTTAGGGACAGTTGTTATTCCCCAAAGCCATCACACTGTAACAATATTGGGATGTCCTACAGCCTGACACGGTGACAGAACCAAAGCTACGGCCTCTCTTCAGTAGAGTAGCACCTGAGCTCTGCAAGAAATCTGAATACATGTGGTTTTCTTCTCATCACTCACCAGCATCTGAAAGAAAAAACCCAGCACCCAAACACTCGTTTTGTTTTTCAAGAATTAAAGACCCCAAACCTTCTGTTGCAGCTCTGACGGCCCTGCACGTGTGGGGAGCTTCACATCGTCCAGCCCCACTGCCCAGCCACCCCAGTGGGCTGTCCCAGGGTGGTTACAAAAGGTCACTTTGCAGAGCACTCCGTGGGCTTCCAGCAGTGTGGGGGATGCATAATTTCTTGGAATAATCCTCTTTTTATTACTCTACAAAACTGGCAGGAACTTTCCCTTTGTACGCAGCGAGTCAGTCCGACAATACTGAAGCCAGCCTAGAAAGTTATTTTGTTTTGCTCTGCCAAATCAGATCTTTCTGCTCTCAAAAATCAGGTAAAGCTAAACCAGATTGTGGTGTTTATATTTTAGCTCTGTAACATTTTAATTGGAAACATTCGATTTCCAGTGTTGTGAGACACCCAAAGAGCCACTTGGGCCAATGGGATCTTTCAGAACGTTTCCTCCAGGCCTGGTAAATGAGCTGAGATGTGAAAACACGGACACGGTTTCTATGGAGTCTCTGCTGGCCCTGTGTCAGTCAGAGCTGGGATCAGTCGGGGTGGGCTCAGTCTTGGAAACCCAGCAATTGGTCCTGAAAAGGAGATAATGAGGTGTCTGCTCTCACAGCCCACCTGGACAGGTGAGCTGGAGGGGATGTTCTCACCTGGCAGTGGCTGACAGTGATGCTGGAGGTCCTCACCTGCGGCAGGGATTGGGAATCTCCAGCTCTCCAAGAGACTGCAGGGTTTGTCCCCTCTCTTTCCGGACACCTGATGAAACAGCCCCCCTGTGCCCTCGGGTCATTTGCAGGTGAAGCAACTTGGTGTTGAGACAATTCCAAAGGGAATGTCACACTCGAGTGCTGCTGCTGAGGCTGCTGGAGTGGCCAAGGAATGTTCATGGCTGCGCTACAGACAAATATGTTTGTGTTTCCACTCCTAAAGGACAACAGACAGTGCCCACAGATGGAGACAGGATGTCTGACTGATGTGCCTTCCTCACATTCTCCAACTTACACAAATTGTGTAAGCAGGAGCCAAAAAAATAGTTTCTCTCTCTGTTTAACCCCACCAGGGGTCATTAAGGTTTTTTTCACATTCCCTTAAACATACATCTTGCTGGGATCTCCCAGACGTGCCTCCCACAGTCAGTTCTCTGCTTTAACTGGGGATTGAATTATTAATGATTTTGTCTTCTGAGAACTGCTGCTCTTCAGTATAAAACCCTTCATGCTCAAAAGCTCAAGGCTGTCTGTGAAAATGCAGCAGCTCAGATCATCCGACGATTATTTCTGATTTAAATGGCAAAGTCGCTGCAAGTTCTCAAGGCACATTATCCATCAGGGGAATATAATTATCACCAATTATAATTAAAAAAGACAAACCCCCCAAGTACAAGACAGTCAGGGGGCCAGAGTGAGCCTGAGCCATGATTCCAGGCACACTCAGCTGTACAGCAGCCCTCCCAGCCCTAAAAAAGCCTGAGGTTTTCTGTTCGAAGGATGTTCATATTTCTGTTTCATAACAATAGATTCCAATAGATCTTCCCCATAATAAGGCTAAAAATACTTCCCCAGGCCCCATGAGAAATTAACCCTTGCCTGTTTCTAACAAGTTTGAAGCTCCTTAGCTATTTTAAAAGTTTGCAGGCAGGTGTCCACCTATACAGGACTCCAAAACCACTCACCCCATTACAAACCATTTGGAAACTGGGAAATTGGTTTGGTGACTCTTCCTAAAGCTCTAATTAGCACGTGAAACACTGTGGATAAAAAGCGTACACCACGTTTACAGCGTTGATATTAAAAATAACTCATTTTATACTTATTTTAGCCATCAGAAATCTCAATTGAACTTCCAGGTTCTTCTAATCAACATCCCTGTGAATTCTTCTGCCCTGTAAGACAAAGCAAATTCCATTTGAAAGGTGGCAGAGCCAAGCAAGGGAAGCAGAGGTGGTGTGTGGCACGTGCCAGTCACTTACTGCCATCAGGAGAAGACAATGTAAACCATGAGGGCACATCCCAGGATCCAGCCAAGTGCCAGGAGCACAGGGACAACCAGGCGGGACAGCGGGGCTGGGGCTGCAGGGGAGAGATGGGCTGTGACTGAAGGGCCACGTTCCACAGGCAGGGAATGATCCCAACACAGCAAACCAGGAGGATCCCACTGTGCCTGCACCTGCAGGAAGGGGACACGGAATTCCCACACCCCAAAGGATGGTGGCAGTGGCAGGAAAATGCCACAGGAGTGTCCAGTGTGGAAGCTCTTCCAGCTGGGCCAGCCACAAACATGGGCTGAGTTGCCCACTAGTCCTAGAACAAGGAGCCCAGTGCAGGTGATGGTTCTCCATGGAGCACATGGAAAGCAGGACTGGCTTTATATAAATATATTTCTGTACAACATCAGAATTTTAAAGACCCTTCTATCAGTTTCCTGCAAATAGCAGTCTCTTGCCAGAAAGCAGAATCCTATTACTTACCAACATATTACAACCTCTTAGAGCAGATCTCTCTGCAGTTAATAGATTTCCAGGTTTTTGAAGGGATTAATAAATTATGTAAAACTATTCACAACACCTTGCACAGTTTAGATCAAGCAGGCAGACTTAGAGGGATGCTTAATAATTTAAGGATTGCCACATTGCTCTTTTAAAGCTGTGCACAACAAACCTCTCTCCACGACACTGCACGGTGTGTCTGCCAGAGGGACAGAGCACAGAGGGGAAATCTGCACGTGCTGCCATGAAAATATTAAATAGATAAATAGCAAAGATAAAATCCTGCTTTGAAACTGGGAGTCCTTTTGCCACAGGGGAGTCCCTTACCTGTTTAATTTAAAGGCTGTTATTGCTTTGACACTGTGCAAGGTAAAGCTGCTTCTCTGGGAATCATTTCTCTTTACTTGCCATTTTTATAGGTCTAATTACAGACCCAGGGCTGGATCCTGCTGGGTGCACAGGGCAGTTCTGTCAGAGCTCTGCTCATGCTGACTGGGGGAGTCTGTCATGTGAGACCCAGCTTAAACCAGTGTCAGTGTAATTTCTGTGGGTACCAATGAAAACTGAAATAAAGACACAGCGTTCACACCCTGTTGTACTTCAGCAGAAATTCACTCTCCTCCTCAGATACCAGAGTAAATGGTGCAGAACCCAGGAGATAAGTCTTTAGAAACTTTTAACATAGCTATGAAGATGGATTAAAAAGTTCCTTTTACAAGGACAAGTGTTACCTGAGGACCTGTGCACAGCAAACACCACAGATACACTTACAGCTGGGAGTTTAAGTGAAGTAAATAAAAAATGACAATGGATACAAAATGCATTTTTATAAGCTGCCTTTTCTCCTTGGAGACAGTCAGGTGTGCTTACAATGGAAAGCTCATTATTAAAATTTCATTTTGCTCTGTCACTCAAGCTTTGTGGGGTTAAAATCTAAATTATTCTACGTTCACCCAGAACTGCACTCAGAGCTCAGCTACACACAGACATCAAAAATGCTGTCAAACAGATCTCATTTTACACAGTTCTGTTCTATTGTGTTCACTAATCTGAAATTACAGCTACAAAACACTAAAGAAAAAATCTGGTGGGATTTAGAAATACAGGAGGAAGACAAGCTACTTTTAACTCACTGCTGTTAATAGAATTAGCTTTTAAACTGGTAACTTAACATAAAATACCTAGTGTTTCAACAAGAATACAAGTAGCTGAGTATTTTCACACTACATTGCTCAGATTTATTCATTTTAATATATTGTTACATTCACATTTCACGGTGCACCTTACCTGGTTCTGCCATTCCCCCTCTGCTGGTTTAATGGCAGGTTTAAGGTTTGTCTCTGCAGTTGTTCTGGGAGCCCTGGGATGCTTTAAATAGAGCGAGATTTGGAATGTGCTGCAGCTGCCTGGCTCACTCGTGCCAGGGTTGGGCTCTATGCATTCAATTGTCTAAAAAGGCAGAAATTCAGGGGATTCAGGGTTACCTCTGCCTGGCCCTCCAGCTGCACATCTGTCTCCGAGCAAAGTGAATAAAAGAGGCTCAGTTTTTGAAGGGGGAGAGAAACAAGGGTGAAAAGTGCTTTGTGGTCCCTTTATAGCCATGAAACACCACATGGTAAGTTCAGATAATATTTATGACCATCCACGTATTTAGAGCGTGACAGGGACCCAGTTCTTAATCCCCCACATCTCCTCTCATCCCTCTCCTATCAAAACCCAAGCCAAGCCCTACTCAGGATACTTCTGCAGTTCTTAGTTCTTTCCTAAGCACCACCAGGAATCTCATTCTGCACAAAGCACAGAGGCACATTCAGCTCCCTCCCCCTGAACGGGTACAGGGGGCAACCACAGGTTTTCAGCACTCCTGGGGGAAGTGGGCAACAAAATTCCAGGAAGGAATATTCCTAAAACAATCTGAGAATTATTTTGTCCTAAACAGGATAAATTATTGCAAACTGTCTCTAATTCAAATGGGAAAAAACACGGAGACAAGTGCCAGATCTGAGCCAAAAGCACAAACTGCACAGCAGGTCATGCCACAGCAAAGGGGAGCTGCGTGTGAAGATCCCTCAGAGTGATCCTGGGTTTGACCAATAAGCAGGAAAAAGTGTTCAGGGGAAATGAACCCAGTGTGCAGAACACCCAGAGGAACAGCACACATGCCCTGACCCAAAGGCTTTCCTTCAGGAATGGGAGGAGACTTTCTCTAACACTCACCAAGTTTATACACAATCCCATCTCAGACCTGTGCCCGGAGATTGAATGAATCAGGGATTCTTCCTGCGTTTCTGAACTGGAAAAGGACAGAAATGGCTGCTCCAAACCATTCCAGGTGACAGGTGCAAGGATGATTTCAGGAGATCTATCTGGCAGTGGAATGTTTGAAGTACAATCATGTGCATTGGTGTGATGAGTGTCTCAGGAACACTCTGACACTCACAGGGGGGAGAGCAGCACTGAGCTCTGGCCACACTGTGCTGAGCAGTTGTTTCACATCAGAGACAAATTCAGCCCTGCAGAGATGGTTTATTGCACACTATAAACACTCCCTGGGCTTTGGAGCCTGGAGGGAATTCTAAGATGATGATTCCAGAACAAGAACTGAAGCCAAGTCATGTCACCTAAGGAAGTTTTCATCAATGGCACACAATCACAGACTGGTTTGGGTTGGAAGGACCTTAAAGCCCATCCAGTCCCACCCCAAACACCTTCCACTAGCCCAGGTTTCTCCAGACCCCATCCAACCTGCCCTTGATATACCTTGATGTCTCTACAGCTGTTCTCTGCCACTTATCTGCATCTTTGAGCAAGACAGTTCTCTTTAAAAACTGCTTGTCTTTCCCCAAACACCACGTAGGGAAGGTGATTTCATTACTGCTTACCCAAAATAAAACTCAGGGCTATAAAGCACTTTATTATGCCGTGCACAATCCAGCCTATCACAACAGTCTGAGACACAAGAACAAACTGTGAGCTTTGCTGTCTTGGTCTGGCTTTGCTATAGAGCAAATCTTTTTGGATAAGATCCAATTTGTTGCAAAAAGAAATATGACTCTGTGCAATATATTTATTGAGAAAGCCATCTCTGATACAATGACTTCCTTGGCTGCACAGTTGTTCCCATAAGAATCCTATCTGGTTTGGTTCTGCTAATTATATATATATATCCATCTGATCTCATGGAAATAATTGCCACCAGGAACCATGTATTCCTGACCAGACCATCTGATCTTCAGGGATTGGGATCTTTCCAGGCCCAGTTGCCACAAGCAGGGACAGGGAGTCATTGCTGCTCTGCCCAGCTCTGGGCACTGCTGCCCCAGCTCAGCTGCACCCACAGCCAGTGCTGTCCTGCACGTCCTGAGCAGGGCAGCAAGGACATCAAAGTTGTAACTGCAAAGAGCAGAGTAACAATATAGACATTATTTTAAACAACACATCTTCTGATTGGAACTGAGGAATGAACTGCAGACATCAACCCTACAATAGAGCTCAGTCCAACAGCCAAAAAAAAAAGCAGGGGGACAGTTTCAAAATATAAAAAAAAACCAAGGAGAGGACACAAGGCTTAAGAAAAAACTCAGAATGATCTGTGGCAAAACACATCTACTGCTTTGCTGCTGAACAACAATACACAAGCAAAACAATTCCCTCATTTCTATTTGTGTTTCAAATTACGTGATAATTTCTGTATGTTCTTCCCTCTGAGCTGGGACACTGAGACACTCCATGTCCAGAGTTAGATGGGGAGTTGGGTTTAGGAATTAGATCTCTTTTTTAGCCTCCAGCTCACTGAGGTGCTCAGACTGGTCTCACTTCAGGAACCTTTGGAGCAGCCTCCTTGACTTCATTTCCATGAACTGCTCGAGGCTGGGAATCACTTCAAATGCTTTAAATGTCTTCAGTGCTTTAAGTGAGGGAGGGCCAAAGTCAGGAGGAGGAACTGAGGCAGCAGGGCTTCGAGGCTTCCCGGGAGAGAAGCAACTTTAGGAGGAAAACCCAGTGCTGATGTTTTAGAAAATATTCCATTCTCTTCTTCGGAACCACGTGGGCTCTGCCAGAAGGACAGACAAACAGCCCAGCTGCATTCCTTGGCTGGCAGGTTCAAAGTCCTGCTCTGCCCGGTGGAGCCACGGCCCTGGGGAGCAAAAAAACCCTCTGCAGGTGTCTGAGCTGTGCCAAAGCTCTGGGGAAGGGCTGGAGGGAACAACATCCTTGCTGCCTTCCAAGCATCCCACCTCAGAAGCCAAAGTGCTTCACTGCACTGATGGCTATCTTTGGCTGTTCCCTCAGCCCACAGAGGAGCTGTGGGAGGCTGGAGCCTTCCTTTGGGAGACTGAGCCATCCTGTCTGAGCTGTTTAACCTCGGGAGACTGAGCCATCCTGTCCCAGCCCTTCAACTGCTCCTGCCCCAAAACTGCCAGGGAGGGAGGACCTGAGGAGTTGTCAGTGCTCCTCCACCAGCCAGGGACCCTCAGCATCTGCCCTGGAGCACGGAGGGGACCAACAGCTGAGTGCTAATGGAACTGTTAAGGCTGGAAAAGACCTCTAGGATCAAGTCCAGCTGTCACGGGAAGTTAACGTGCAATGAGGTGATTAAAGGCAGAGTCCAATCCTAAAGAAAATGAGAACAATCCAGCCCACAGTGGCAGAAATGTGACCCAGAGCCCTTGAACAGGCAGGATGGTTGTGTAGGAGCTTCCCTGTGGGATAATCCAACCCTGGGCCACGCAGCCGACAGGGCCATTGAACCACGTTGTTGGGAATGGGTTTTTCTGTAACATCCCAGCACCTCACTGAGAGGCAAAACTTCCCCTTCTGCACCACAGACAGGTTTGCACTCGGAATGCTGGGAGCACAGCCCAGAGAGCAAATATCAACTGCGTGGAAACAACCCCCTGGATGCATTTCCTGGGCTCTTTCTGCTGGATCCCAGAGATTTAGTGCCTGATGTTTGGGAGGGAACTGTCAGAACCTCCCTGACACACCACCCACTTTGCAAAGCCAGTTGGCCATTTTTAGTGTTCAAATAGCCAGTGTGTTGAGAGCACATCCCAATTTTCTTAATTTCACCCGTACCCAGACATTAAATACTAGAAAGTTGAATTTCTGTCTTTGTTACTGTGCTTGTAATCCCTGGAAATCTGCACACAATGCAGCAGGCTGGCAAAGCAAGGCTTTGTTTTATGAGTTCTACGTGAGCCATATAAATAGCTGCAGGCTGAACTGCTGTAGAGGACAGGAGGGGGACAGACCAACCCATCTTCACAGAGGGAATGCTCCAAGTAATAAAATCTTTACAGCTTTGGAATATTGGTATTAATTTTTAAATCACATTTCTTTCTTTCAGTTGAGCTTTTTCCCTACTCCTGATTTACTAGCAAATCAAAAGCCACATTTATATGCCTTGAATTGTTTTATGACTGCCATACACTCCTGTGACACGCAGACTAACATGGGAGAATATCAGACATTTGCTTTCAAGAAATAGGTTTATGTGTGGAAAACTTGTCTAATGAAATGCATTTTATTACTCACACCAGTCTTAGCATTTGAAAGCTCCCTTAGAAATTGCCAGGCATTTCTTCTACTCACATTTACATCATGAAAATAAAGGCTGATTTATTTGATAACTATGCAACTGAAGACCTGAAAAAATCCATGTATTAAGCTACTAAATATTTAATTCCACAGACTGTTTCCCAGGGCTTGGGGTCTGCACATCATTTCTCTTGGCAGAGAGAAGTGTCACTGACTGACTGCTGAGATACCTCCTAAAAACCAGCTGCAAATATGATGGAGGAACTGCTCCATCGTGTCCCATCGACATGTGCCACAGGATTGCTGGACTAGTCCCCACTGCTGTCTAAAAATAACGATGACAACATGGGGTCTGCCCTTGTACAGCTCCATTGCAGGGCAGCTGAGCGATGGCAAATCCACCCTGGCTGGCACAGGGATGACTGTGGGGAGGCACCTGCCTGCCCCAGAACTGATGAGCAGCACCCAGGGGGATCTCCAGCAGGAGCTGGAGGTGACTGCAAGGTGACTGCAGCAGGAGCAGCCCCTGGCACAGCCCAGCCCTGGCAGCACGGGGAGCCAGGCACTGGGAACTGCCCGTTTTTGGAGCCACGTGTGACCCAGCACCGCTCACCCTCCCCTGGGCTGGACTGACACTGAACCCCCAGAGCTGCCAGGCCCAGGGTCAGCCACGGGACAGGGGTCAGATATTTCAAATAAAAACTTCACCCCTTTCTTCCTCTCCAGTGATTATTATTCTGGAAGGACACCCAGCCCACCACACCCCACAAATCCCCAGGCATTTCTGATTTGAGAACTGGCAGCTTTCTGGAGGATATGTGTTATGATTTATACATCACTGCAACCAGTTGGTGTGGCCTTTACTGTCACAGCTGAAAGAAAATTGGCATCTTCTTCAGAATTTAAAGGCATTTAGCATGTCACTTGGATCCCAACTTCTGGACCAAGTTAAAATTCAAGTCTTACCCTGCTGCACTTCTGCTGTGAAAGGAAAAGCTTCCTTCAGAGGGTGGCTGAGGGGGGAGGCAGCAGAGCAGGAGGCAGGAGCAACATGGGACACTCCAACAAGGATTTCACCAGGATGGACCTGGGCACAGAGATGGGAACAGCTGGATATTGGATCGCAATTTTAGTTGTTCCTTTGTTCTAGTTCCTGAAAAACAAGGACTGAACTGCTCAGCTGGGATGTGTGTCCTGGTTCTTGGTCCAGCCCTAAATTTCCTCGTTGAAAACAACTCAGAGTGAAGATGCTGCATTCCCAAACAACCCCTGGCCTGTGTGATTTCAGCTCATGTGCTGGACAAAGCCAGTCATGGGCAGAAAACATCTTTATTTGATCTTCCTGTGTCCTCTGAAAGAACATCAGCTCGTGCCAGCAAGGAACACAATGGCAAAACACAAACTGGCTGAGGAAAAAAGATGTTCATTACCATAAGTTGTGAAAGACTTTCTAAAATACCATGTTTATCTAAGATTGAACTCATTTATTTCTTGATCTGCCCGTTCCAGTTGACCACAAACACTGGATAAAATGGAGCAAGATGATTTCAATGTCCTCTTATGAACAAGAGGAAGCATTTCTCAAAAATCTTTTAGTCTACATTTTCATAAATTCATGGAATGGTTAAGGTTGGAAAAGACCTTTAAAATCACCAAGTCCAACCATCAGCCCAGCACCACCATGTATGAGAAAGCTCCAGCTCAGCTGGGTGTAAGCCAGCCCTGGA